ATCTTCTGGAGAGCTTCTACAGACAAACACTTTTACAGGCAGACGCTTTACACACATTCATTTCACACACAAAGACACTTTGCAGACAGACTCCTTTACACACAGCCGCTTTTACACACAGACGCTTTTACACACAAAAACTTTTACGCACAGACACTTTTACACAAACAAACGCTTTTACACACAGACGCTTTTACACACATGCACTTTCACACACAGAAGCTTTTACACGCAGACTCCTTTACACGCAGGCACTTTTACGCACAGACGCTCTTGCACACAAACGCTTTTACACACAGACGCTTTCACACACGAACACTTTTACACACAGACGCTTTTACACACAGACGCTTTTACACACATGCACTTTCACATGCAAAGAAGCTTTTACACGCAGACTCCTTTACACGCAGGCACTTTTACGCACAGAAACTCTTAAACACAAACACTTTTACACACAGACGCTTTCACACACGAACACTTTTACACACAGACGCTTTTGCACACAGATACTTTGGAACATATGCTTCTTTACATACGGACGCTTTTACACACAGACACTTTTACACAGAAATGCTTGTACCCACAGACGCTTTTACACACAGACGCTTTCGCGCACAGACGCTTTTACACAGATGTTTTTACACACAGACACTTTTACACACAGACGCTTTGACACACAGGCGCTCTTACACACAGACACTTTTACACACGAACAATTTAACACACACAGATGCTTTTACACAAAAACGCTTTTACACACAGACGCTTTTACACAAATACACTTTCACACACAAAGGCGCTTTTACACACAGACTCCTTTACACACAGGCGCTTTTACACACAGACGCTTTTACACACAAACACTTTTAGACACAGACGCTCTTACACACGAACGCTTTTACACATTTACACGCAGACGCCTTACACACAGCCGCTTTTACCCACAGACGCCTTTACACACAGCCGCTTTCACACACACACAGCCGCTTTTACAAACAGACGCTCTTACACACAGATGCTTTTACACACAGACGCTTTTACACACATGCTTTTACACACAGACGCCTTTACACACAGCCGCTTTTACACAGACACTTTTACACACATATGCTTTGAGCACATGCTCCTTTATACACAGACGCTTTTACACACAGACGCTTTTACACACAGACGCCTTTACACACAAACGCTTTTACACACACGCGCGCGCACACACTTTTACACACAGACGCTTTTACGCACAAACACTTTTACAGACAGACGCTTTTTTACACAGATGCTTTAAACGCACGCTGCTTCACACACAGACGCTCCTACACACACAGACGCGTGAGGGTCGCGCGGGGCCAGTCACGCGTGCAATTTTTCGTCAATTTTTGACGATCGAACCTCATTTCATTCGTAAGGTTCGCATGCGAAAGCTCAACACCGCAATTTTTCCTTAGTTTTTGACGATCGAACCTCATTTCGTGCGTAAGGGCCGTTCAACAGCGCAATTTTTCCTTAGTTTTTGACGATCGAACCTCATTTCGTGCGTAAGGGTCGCAGCCGACGCACCAAAATCGCAATTGCTCCTTAGTGTTTGACGATCGAACCTCATTTGGGTAAGGTCGCGCGCGGCCCGTCAAAATCACAATTTTTCTTCACTTTGTGAGACGACCTAACCTCATTTCGTGCGAGTATTTTTTCGTGATCGCTCCTGGCCACCGCCCCCGCCTTAAGAGAGAAGAGAAATTAGCAGACGAGAGAAGAAAGAGAGAGAGAGAGTGAGAGAGAGAAAGAGAGAAGAGAGAGAAGAGAGAGAAGAGAGAGAAGAGAGAGAAGAGAGAGAGAAGAGAGAGAAGAGAGAGAAGAGAGAGAAGAGAGAGAAGAGAGAGAGAGAGAGAGAAGAGAAGAGAAGAGAAGAGAAGAGAAGAGAAGAGAAGAGAAGGGAAGGGAAGGGAAGGGAAGGGAAGGGAAGGGAAGGGAAGGGAAGAGAAGAGAAGAGAAGAGAAGAGAGAGAGAGAACAGAGAGAGAGAGAGAGAGATAGAGAGAGAGAGAGAAGAGGGAGAGAGAGAGAGTGATAGAGAGAGGGAGAAGATGTAAGATCAGCTGACGTAAGGTCTGAAAATGTAAGATGAGCTGACGTAAGACATGAAGATGTAATGACGCTGCTGTAAGATGTGAACATGTAAGATCAACAGACAAAAGATGTGAAGATGTAAGATCAACAGACGTAAGATGTGAAGATGTAAGATGAACTGACGTAAGATATGAAGATGTAATGAAGATGTATTATCTCAGCTTCTTTTTTTAGAAAAACTCTATGCTCAGGTACTCTCGGGAAAAAATGAAAGTGGAAGATGTGAAAAGCGAAGCTTTCGTGCAAGACTTCCCTCAATTTTTGACAGTCGAAATTGTCAAAATGAAGCCTGAACTGGCAGTTCCACGGTGCGGCCGATCCGACCATGATCCCGGTACAGCCGAGACCGTCCGGGACCCGCCCGCCGAACAAGCTTCCGTATCCATCTTCCGAGGCACGTTTTGTCCTGCAAAACACAGAATTTCGCATCCGCTAACTTTCAAAAACGCATGTCGTGCGAGACTTCCCTCAAAAAGTGAAAGTTGAAGATGTGGAAACGCAGCTTTGGTGCGAGTCTTCCCTCAAAATCTGAAAGTGGAAGATGCGAAAACGAAGCTTTCGTGCGAGACTTCCCTCCAAAAGTGAAAGCGGAAGATGTGAAAACGAAGCTTTTGTGCGCGAAACGTCCTTCAAAAACTGAAAGTGGAAGCTGTGAAAACGAAGCTTTCGTGCGAGACTTTCCTTCTCTTTGCTGTGAGATTTCTTTGCTGTGAGATCTTTTTGCTGTGTGATCTCCTTGCTGTGAGACTTCTCTGCTGTTGGATCTCTTGGCTGTGAGAGTAGTGCTGGTTGTGACAGTGGTGATTGTGACAGTGGTGGTTGTGATACTTGTGATTGTGATGGTGGCGATTGTGATAGTGGAGATTGTGATAGTGGCGGTTGTGATATATAGTGGTTGTGATTATGGTGATTGTGATAGTGGTTGTGATAGTGATGATTGTGAGAGTGGTGTTGTGATAGTGGTGATTGTGATAGTGGTGAAATTGTGATAGTGGTGATACTGTGATAGTGGTGATATTGTGATAGTGGTGATATTGTGATAGTGGTGATGTTGCAAACATGGTGATATTGTGACAGTGATATTGTGATAGTGGCGATTGTGACAGTGGTTGTGATAATGGTGATATTTTGATTGTGATATTGTGATAGTGGTGATATTGTGATAGTGGTGATGTTGCAAAAATGGTGATATTGCGACAGTGATATTGTGATAGTGGTGATTGTGACAGTGGTTGTGATAATGGTGATATTTTGATTGTGATATTGTGATAGTGGTGATTTTGTGATAGTGGTGGTTTGGGATTTTAAAAATCCGTTGCGCTGAAGTTAAATTTTCAATCTTCCTTTGACAAAAGCGGACTTGTTTTAGCATGCAGGAGTTCTAGAAGGAAACAGACCGCGTGACACACTTTGCAAAATTGTGGTTTTGTACTGTCTGGTATGTTCTGCCTGCGGGCCTTTTTCAAACTGCTGGACTGCGTTGAGTGACCGTAAACCCTGGCTGAACAATGCTCAATGATGCTCAATGAAACCATGAATTGCGTCGCATTTTGAACGACTGATGGTTTGAATCAGAATGTGATAAGTCTAGACCATGAACTATTGCAAGAATTCACCAAATTTTGATCTGCTTTCAGGACCAAACTGAGGGTGCGTGAGACCAACGGGGTCTTGCCAAGACCATGGTTTCAAAATGTTTAAAACAATCCTGTTGGGAAAAACGATGTGGCTTTGCTCCTTGTCTTGAGAGTCAAGTTACCCTGTGTTCTTGTTCTCAGATCATGCAATGCCTCTTGGCAAGGAAAAATGTTTCAAGACTTGAATCTTGACATTTCCCTGTTAAGTCAGCAGCAAGACCATGGTCTACTCGAGATTTATGAGGCTTGATCTAAAGTTTCTGGAAGCATCTATCATTTCATTTGGAAACTAGATTTAAACATTCAAATGCTGAACTGCTCGAACGCGGAATAGCACATGAGTTTCAGCCCCAGATGGACGTGATTTGGGCGTTGGGATCCTGGGATATCAGACACTTTGAGAGACTTCCGTTCCCTTCGATCAAGCTCCATGTACATAGACATCATAGACTGCGATACGCTCAGAAGGATTCTGGCGAGTTGATTGATGTAAAGTGGTTGCGGTGGTTGGGTTCGTTTCACCTGTAGAGTCGGCAAGTGGATCCATCAGCATGATGGCCTTGATGGATACATTCGATAGGATGTGGAGCAAAAAGCAAAAGAGGCATTTCACTGAGGATGCACTCCTCTGCCTTGTACTTCGGAGGGCGCTGGGATTTGACTGCATCACTTGAAGAGGCCACATCTTGCATGCTGAGCTGTGTACAGTGTAGCCTAATCGAGCAGTTGCTTTGAAGGTCACTGCACAGCACAATCTGGATAGAGGTGGCAGCATTCGCAACCACACGGAATTGTGCTTGCACATTGCTTTGGTAGAACGGTTTTTGGAGTCATCTGATAAACAGGTGGTAAGTTTGTATGTTAAGTATATGTAAGTGCGATCAAGTGCCAAGTTGTTTCTTTTTTTTGCACCCCTTTTTGCAAGATTCACTCCAAGCGGCATTTGAGCCTCATGCCGTCTTATGCCTGGATTTTCGAAGCTATGCGTCCATGAGACAGGGAAGCTGCAGCGCTAAGACACCTTTGAAAGGGCGTGCGTGCATCTCCATACTTGATTGTGTCAATTGATGTTTGCAGTCTTGCCCAAGTTTTTGACAACATTTCATCAGATTATATGTCTAAGCTTGCACGGAAGGAACAAAAACCAAGTGCAGAGATGTGCGATCCAAGGCTCAAAGAAAGATCGCCTTCCAAAAATAGAGATTCCAGCAGAAACCAAAGTAAAGTCTGCAAACGCCTTGGAATGCGTCTGTGGCAATGGCATTAGTAGACCCCTCCAATCCAGGCACGCCGTAGCTTCCTTGTCCAAGGATCTTAATTTGAACAGCATGCACTATGTGTCAGCAAGCATCAGTACACATCGCCGTGCAATGCTGTGCATACGTGTTAGAAATCAGGAGAAAATGATCAGTATGCAGCAGTATGCACTGCGTATTTCAGGTGGCGGCATTCTTGTCGATGCTAGTGCGGTCGGCCGTCCTATAGGCAAGGAACAGTGGAATGTGACCAGTGTAGCCTGGAGACCTTCATTTCATGAACACGGTGAGGTGACACATCATCGTCCGCTGTGTTTGTCAATGAGCTTCCAAAAAACTTTCAAGGCGGTGCACCTTCTCAGTTCACAACGAAACAATCCACTGTGAAGTCAGCTCTGCACTGACGACTTGTGCCGGCTTTTTAAGTTCCAAGGTGACGAAGCCTTGCATTTTGCCCTAGGGGACCTTTTTGGACAGACCTGACCTTAAAGAAAAGGAGTTGCAAAGAATCCTCTGAGACAACATGTGACTGGGTGGGGATTGCCAAGGTATGGAAAGATCAAAAAGATTGAGCTTTACATGGATGAGGCAAAACCAGTTTATTTTCATGTTTCTTGACAGTTTTGTAGCTGTGAAAGCTATTTTACAGGGCATTTTGGAGACGAAGAACTTCAAGGGCGAGGCACTTGTTGTGTACCACACGAGCAAATATACGGGCACCCACGACACTGGAGTTTTGGCCTCAGAGAAAGTGGGCTTTGCGATATATGTATACATATACATATATATATATACATACATATTATATATATAATTATACACAATATACAGACTCTTTCCCAGATCCACATTCTCGATGAAAATGAAAAAACATGTCAGGAGTGTCAGAGCGAGATATCATTGCCTTCTCTTGCCTGCTTTCTTTATCAATCTTTATCTGTCTTTATTCTTCTTTATCATTCTTTATCCTTCTCTATCCCTTTTCCGCCCCTTTTGTCCTTGTCTTTATCCCCCTTTTAGATATTCTAGCATTGTGGGTGCCTTCGTCCGCTCACCTCTCCAAGGATCCTGTATACGAGGCCAGCAACGAACAAACCTGTGCAAGCCTGTAACATGACATGGTTGATGTGCGCACATAAAACCCGAAAGCAAATCCAAATTCTGTGTTTTCGAGAGCCATTTTTGAAAAACAATACATGATGCATGATTCTGAATGATGATGCTGAGTACTGAGTGCACGATCTTCAGGCTTGCCGTGACCTGGATGGCAGGATCAGAGTGCCTGGAGCCCATTGTGTGATTCGGATGAAGAGCCAGACTGTGCAAGTCCCTCAATCTCCTAAGGCTGGGATATCGTAATTGGCGCATTCGATGCGAGGCTCCTGAATCCAAAGATTTGAGAGCGCACTCGGGCTGAATTTGCAAAGTCTTTTGTTGAACAGACAATTTAGCACAGGGTTCGTACTTCAAGTAGGAAGGGAGCGGTGTAATTTGGGGGTGGTGGGGCGTGTTGGGAGGGTGTGTTGGCCCTGTTGGACATTTCAAGACAGCAGGGTGTTTGCTGCGGCTGTTGCGGTGTTGAGCGTCATGCTCGCCGTTTTGAGCCTAGAATAGTGTTTTTTTTTTCTAGCGACATAGATTCTGAAAGAGGTTCCAATTACCATTATATATATATATGTATGTATATAGTTCCAGAAGCATTCTGAAAGATTTGGCGAGAGGTTCGTCAAAGGAATATTTGGAAGTGAATGTTCTGAGTCAGAGGTTGCCGGTATAATTTGCAAGTCAGCATTTCTGAAAATTCTGGTAGGTTAAAGCTTCAAAACTTTCACTTACAGCAGCTTTGCAGGCATACAAGCTTTGCATTTATATAATTGAACTTGATATTGCCAACGCTTATCACCCTGAAGGCAGCTGTTTGGCAGAAGGAAGGCTTCAATGTCAAGGAAGTTCAGCCAAGTTGGACCTTTCAAGTGCACATTGTGCAGTTCACATTGTGCAGTGCATATGCTCTACTGTACATGTTTCTCTACATGATGTCTACATGTTTCTTATGTTTCTTTTCAGTTTTCAATTCCACCATTGTCTTGCTCAAGAATGCTACAGGATCGAGCCAAAAAGTCACCCTGTGTTGAAATCGCGAACCTCTGGGAGTCTTTGCCTAAGAAAGCAGTTTGGGGATATTTCGGGTATTGCGCAGAGCTTTGATGCACTTGCACTTGCTTGTCTTTCCTTATTTTCAAGGTACACTGCATCGACCCCAATGTCATGGTTTATGGAGATCCAGGATGTTATCCGAAAGCATGCATCAGAGCACATCAAAGAGCCGTTCGTGAAGGTCCATTGCGAGACAGTCTGACCTTCTCCAAGGTTTGTTTGTACTGGCGAAGAATCTGGAATGGAGTTGGAGATCTCCAGGAAATTATGTTCTTGTTGATCTTGTTGCAGAGGTTCAATGACGAGTCCTGTTTTTTGCAATGTGCTGGGTTCTGGTGGTCCATTGGTAGACGTTGTGATGCCATGGAATGAATTGGTCGGGCTCAGACGAAATGTGGGGCTGCTACTGCCACCCGCCAAGGGTGACGGGTTGCTTTCTCGAGGGTGATACTGATTCGTCAAAGGATCATCAAACGCAAGGGTCTGTATGTTGCTATGTGTTGCCCTGTGTTAGTGTGATTCTTGGCTACTCTTGCAATTTCTCAAGTCCGGTACTCGTGCAGGTTGAACCGTCAGAAGGATTGGCGACAATTTGGTGCAAAGGCGCCCAGGACGCAAGCACTGCTGAGCTCTTATGCACTTATGTAATATAGAGACCGACTTACAGTTAGAAACAATTTTGGAAAAAGTTTTCAAAAAAAATAGCGGCAAAATGGTACCTACCCGTTTCTAAGTGTACACTTAGAAACCAAACAAGTCAACACTTAGAAACAAAATTATCATATTTGTCACTAACACTTAGAAACTACCCTAATTTTAACATCATTTTTTCATTAACACTTAGAAACAAATTATCATATTTTTCATTTAGAAATTAACTAACAAATGCAAAAATGATACGTACTTTTTGGGCACCAAAAGTATCATTTTTTAAATAACGTTTTATCTATTTCCTAGAAAAGTATCATGTTTTTCTCATTTTTGTTTTATCAGTATCCTAGAAAAGTATCATGTTTTTATCATTGTTTATCAGTTTCCTAGAAAAGTATCAATGTTCTATCGATTTCCTAGCAAACCCATACATACATCCACGCATACATGCACATCTATTGGTAGTTTGAACTTTTTCCAAAAATATGTAGATATACAATATATATATAATTATACACATACATGTGTGTGTGTCGTGTCTTATTTTGATGCTTCTTTCGAAATCATATTCAAGAAGCAGAGTTTCTAAGTGTTTGGTTCCACAAGGAATACGACCACAGAAATCTTGCAGCGAAGCATCCCAAGTTGTGTACATATGTCATTCCAAAACTCTGGTTATTTGTGATTTTTCAATCCATATATATATATACATATCCATACATACATCCATACATACATCCACGGATACATGCACATCTATTGATAGTTTCAGCTTTTTTCCAAAGATATGCATATATACCAGTAGTACCCGCACGAGGCGGGGCGGAAGTTGCCTTAGGGATATATATATAACACCTTTCTCATCTATAGAACTTGCATGCGCCGTGCGCCGGCCAGGCCCGTGCGTGCGTGCTTTCTGCGAAAGTGGTGTTCTGTTTCACATGTTAGATTTGAAGCTCCACTTCACACTTCACATTTCTCACTGCACTCTTCACGCTCCACACTTCACACTTCACACTCCACACTTCACACTTCGCACTTCACACTCCACACTCTTCACACTGCATTCTTCGCACTCCACACTTCACACTTCACACTGCGCACTTCACACTCCACACTTCACCCTTCACACTGCACTCTTCGCACTCCACACTTCCCAGTACTACTTTGTACTACAAAGCTTGCACAAAACACGCTCAAGTACTACTTTGTACTACAAAGCTTGCACAAACTACTTCCCAGTACTACTTTGTACTACAAAGCTTGCACAAACTACTTCCCAGTACTACTTTGCAGCACAAAGCTTGCACAAACTACTTCCCAGTACTACTGTGTACTACAAAGTTTGCAAAAAGTACTTCCCAGTACTAGTTTGTACTACAAAGCTTGCACAAAACACGTTCCAGTACTACTTTGTACTACAAAGCTTGCACGAAACACTTCCCAGTACTACTTCGTACTACAAAGCTTGCACAAAGTATTTCTCAGTACTACTTTGTACTACAAAGCTTGCACAAAAAACATTCCAGTACTACTTTGTACTACAAAGCTTGCACAAAGTACTTCCCAGTACTACTTTGTACTACAAAGCTTGCACGAAGTCGTTCCCAGTACTACTTTGTACTACAAAGCTTGCACAAAGCACCTCCCAGCACTACTTTGTACTACAAAGCTTGCACAAAGCACCTTCCAGTACTACTTTGTACTACAAAGCTTGCACAAAGCACTTCCCAGTACTACTTTGTACTACAAAGCTTGCACAAAGCACTTCCCAGTACTACTTTGTACTGCACAGCTTGCACAAACCACTTCCCTTACACACAATGCTTTTACACATGGCAAGCGTTTACACACACAGAAACTTTTACACAGAGACGCTCTTACGCACACAGAAGCTTTTACACACAGCAAACTTTTACACACAAAATCTTTTACACACAGCAAGCTTTCACACACACACAGCAAGCGTTTACACACAGAACACTTACTCACAGTGCTTTTACACATGGCAAGCGTTTACACACACACAGCAAGCTTTTTAAAGAGAGAAGCTTTTACACACAGAGAAGCTTTCACACACCGCAAGCTTTTACACACATTTTTTTTTACACACAGCAAGGAACCACACACAGCAAGCGTTTACACACAGAACACTTGCACACAGTGCTTTTACACATGGCAAGCGTTTACACACACAGAAACTTTTCCACAGAGACGGTTTTACACACAGAGAAGCATTTACACACAGCAAGCTTTTACGCACAAAATCTTTTACACACAGCAAGCTTTCTCACACAGCAAGCGTTTACACACAGAACACTTACACACACAGTGCTTTTACACATGGCAAGCGTTTACACACACACACAGACTTTTACACACAGGAATTGCAGCTCCAAAACCGGATCTCGGCGCCAAAGCGAAAAAAAGATGATTTTGAAACACTTTTCCCCGAGAGCGCCTGCGAAGGGTTCTTCGTAAAAAAAAGTTGTAATACATCTGCAGATCTACGTCTTCACACTTTCACATCTGCAGATCTACATCTTCACACCTTCACATCTGCAGATCTACATCTGCAGATCTACATCGTCACACCTTCACATCTGCAGATCTACATCTTCACACCTTCACATCTGCAGATCTACATCGTCACACCTTCACATCTGCAGATCTACATCTTCACACCTTCACATCTGCAGATCTACTTCCTCGCACCTTCACATCTGCAGATCTTCTCTCTCTCTTCCTTTCTTTCTCTCGCTCGTCTTTCTATATCTCTCTCTCTCTCTCTCTCTTAAGGCGGGGGCGGTGCCGCCGGAGCGCCACGAAACGTGACAGGCGCAGCATTTCGTGCACATCGGACGTCCAAAACCTAGGTAAAATATGGTAAAATTGCGATTTTAGTTAGTCCACCGCAACCCTTTCGCATGAAATGGACGTTGAACGTCAAAAACTGAGGTAAAATTGCGATTTTGAGGTGTCAGTCGCAACCCTTTCGCACCCAAGATGCAAAACTGGCAAGACCTTGAAGGTCAAATGTGGCACCCAACGCGTTGACAGGTGCTGGAAATTCATCAAGGAGCGTTTGCCCAAAGGGACATGAGCTGGAATGCGTGCATCCAAGCCAAGATTAGCTCAGCCCAATACGAATATTAGCATCGTGGGGATGACATGTGGGTGCGTTTGGCCACCTACATGTCTAACATTGTCTAGGTGTGAACTTCGCAAAGGGGGAAAAAGTTCGGTTTGCATGCTGCTTCACAGGCCAAAATATCAAGCACACAAGTTGTTTCAGATCGCCTAGTTCCTTGAAACGTACGGATTGACGCCCACTCTCATCTTCATCCTTGCATGTAAAAAAGACATCCTGTTCACATACCTTATCTCTTTGCGAGACTACATCTGCAGGAAACTAAAGAAAACATCACTGTCTGCATCTGAAGGAAACCCAGAAATTACAGTGAAAAAGGTACATTGGGCAACACACACACACACATATATATATATATATACGTGTATACATATGTTTTTTCATGCGTACATACATATGTATCTATATTTATTTATTTGCATATATAATTGTTTATGTATAGTTAAAACTATATATACCTATATGTATGTAATGTATGTAATGTATGTAATGTATGTAATGTATGTAATGTATGTAATGTATGTAATGTATGGTATGGTATGGTATGGTATGGATGGATGTATGCATGTATGCATGTATGCATGTATGCATGTATGCATGTATGCATGTGTGGATGTGTGTATGTGTGTATGTGTGTATGTGTGTATGTATGTATGTATGGATGTATGGATGTATGGATGTATGGATGTATGGATGTATGGATGTATGGATGTATGGATGTATGGATGTATGGATGTATGGATGTATGGATGCATGGATGCATGGATGCATGGATGCATGTATGCATGGATGCATGTATGCATGTATGCATGTATGCATGTATGTATGTATGTATGTAATTTATGTAATGTATGTAGTGTATGCTGTAATGTATGTAATGTATGTAATGTATGTACTGTATGTACTGCATGTACTGCATGTACTGCATGTACTGCATGTACTGCATGTAATGTATGTAATGTATGTAATGGATGTACTGCATGTACTGCATGTACTGCATGTACTGCATGTACTGCATGTAATGTATGTAATGTATGTAATGTATGTAACGTATGGTATGTATGTATGGTATGTATGGTATGTATGGTATGTATGGTATCTATGTATGTAGGTATGTAGGTATGTATGTACGTATGTACGTATGTACGTATGTACGTATGGTATGTATGTATGGTATGTATGGTATGTATGGTATGTATGGTATGTATGGTATGTATGGTATCTATGTATGTAGGTATGTAGGGATGTATGTACGTATGTACGTATGTACGTATGTACGTATGTACGTATGTACGTATGTACGTATGTACGTATGTACGTATGTACGTATGTACGTATGTATGTATGTATGTATGTATTGTATGTGTGTATGTGTGTATGTGTGTGTATGTGTGTGTATGTGTGTGTATGTGTGTGTATGTGTGTGTATGTATGTGTGTATGTGTGTGTATGTGTGTATGTGTATGTGTGTATGTATGTGTATGTATGTGTATGTATGGGTATGTATGTGTATGTGCATGTATGAGTATGTATGTGTATGTATGTGTATGTATGTGTATTATGTGTAGTATGTATGTGTATGTGTATGTGTGTATGTATATGTATGTATATAGGTATGTGTGATGTGGTAGGTATATATGTATGTATGAATATGTAATGTAGTATGTATGTATATGTAGTATGTAATGTAATGTAATAATGTAATGTAATGTATGTAATGTATGTAGTATGTAATGTATGTAATGTATGTAATGTAATGTAATGTATGTAATGTATGTAATGTATGTAATGTAATGTAATGTATGTATGTAATGTATGTATGTAATGTATGTAATGTAATGTTATGTAATGTTATGTAATGTTGTAATGTTATGTAATGTTATGTAATGTTATGTAATGTTGTGTAATGTATGTATGTATGTATGCATGTATGCAAGTATGCATGTATGCATGTATGCATGTATGCATGTATGCATGTATGCATGTACGCATGGATGTATGTATGTATGTATGTATGTATGTAATGTATGTAATGTATGTAATGTATGTAATGTATGTAATGTATGTATGTAATGTATGTAATGTATGTAATGTATGTAATGTATGTAATGTATGTAATGCATGTAATGTATGTAATGTATGTAATGTATGTAATGTATGTAATGTATGTAATGTATGTAATGTATGTAATGTATGTAATGTATGTAATGTATGTAATGTTATGTAATGTTATGTAATGTTGTGTAATGTTATGTAATGTTATGTAATGTTATGTAATGTTATGTAATGTATGTATGTATGCATGTATGCAAGTATGCATGTATGCATGTATGCATGTATGCATGTATGCATGTATGCATGTACGCATGTACGTATGGATGGATGGATGGATGTATGTATGTGTGTGTATGTATGTATGTATGTATTTATGTATATATGTATGTATGTATGTATGTATGTATGTATGTATGTATGTATGTATGTATGTATGTATGTATGTATGTATGTATGTAATGTATGTTTGTTTGTCTGTCTGTCTGCCTTTCTGTATGTGATGTGGTGTGATGTCATGTCATGTCATGTAATGCAATGTATGTATGTACGTATATTATATTAGGCATATATATATATGTGTGTTTATGTATTTCATGCACAAACTCCTGCTAAGCTTTGCAGGATGCCATGAAGCTTGCTGCCCTCATGCAAAAGAGTTATTTCATGGGCCGAAAGGCTCTATGCTTGAATTTCAGACAGCTGTGATATGTTTTGGGATGTTTGCTGGTCCCTTTGAAAGCAGCAAAACAAAGGGTGCATTTTGGACTCATTTTGGTTCATGGCTGCACTTCCCGCAAGAGCTTTGACCATGACTTTGCATTTTATGTCCTCCTGAGTGCACAAGTCATGTTGCTATCGAATAGGTATGGTGGACAGACCATTGGGATGCAACTATGTATGTACATGAAATGCAAGTCGGGGAGGAACGCTGTCCTGTAGCAGGTCATTGCGTCTTTGTGCAGAAAGGAAAAACCCATCTCTGAAGCTTTGCCAAAGGCAGCATTGGATGTGAGGAGAAGTGACTTAAAGCGGTGACATGGTTTTCACATGTCTTCACTAATTTGACTTTGCACAACAATCCCGCTGGCTGCGTCTACAGAAAATCTTGCACCAAGCGCAGGTGCCTCGTCACTTATCAATGAAGGCATCAGAGACTTCTTTGCTGGAACAGGTCACAGCCCTGGGATTGGGGCCATTGGGGTAGGGCCATCGGCAAGGTCGCTAGGGGGAACATCAAGTATTGGCTGAGGCTGCCATAGCACCTGGTAAGCTGGATCCTGAAGTTGCAGCAGCTATCAGGTGGGGCATTTGGTCAGGTTTCCTCGCCTGTTGGATAAACGTTTGACTGGCAGGAAACAAGCAGAAGAGATGGCAGCTGCACAGTCGAAAAAGGTTCAGAGCGTAGAGGACTTTGATTGACATGACAGTTGCAAGAGATCAGTCGTTGGAGTCGACCTTCTGCAAGTGTCTACAGGATGCAGAAGCAAATGCAGAACTTAAAATGGAGGGGCCATCTTTTTTGCTTCGAGAAGGTTGTCAGCATCTGAGCATTGCCAGTGTGCCCTGTCCCATCGTGATCGCAGCAGTTTGCCGTTTTCGGCTTTACCGTGTTGCCGTGCCTTTTTGTTTACGGCTCTGTACTAAGGTCATGTGGTGCTGAAAGGCTTGGTCTCCAAGCCCGAGAACAATGGGAAACGCGCCACAATCGTTCGCCACTGACCCAGCGAAACAGTAAGAAGTTCAGCAGGTTTGAAACTGCCGACTTTGTCTCGGATGCTGAACGTGGCGTCTGCAGAAGTTCCAAAGCACTGCTGGATATGCTGTGTATGCGTTTCAGTTGGATTTGCAGAGCACTACTTCCTTTTACCAAGGCTACTTGGACGATCAACAGAAATACCAGGCATTTCCGAGCGCACCGTTTTGTGTTTGTGGGTGCAATTTTTCGTACATGCAGAATACCCCAAGCTGATTGAGCGAGAGGTAAGTCTGGAAGGCAGATTTGTCAAGCTGAAACCGGAGAATGTTGAGGTGCACTGGGTGCATAACCCATGGAACGTCAGATCATTTGAGATGTTGGAGTTACGACAGCTGGAGCATAACAGGGTATATAGCATGTGGGAATTCAGTTCGTAGAGGTGGTGGAAGATCCCCTGCCAAAGCGTCCACCCAGCATGTTTTATCTGCTGTGCTGATGATTCCAGCTGCAAGCTTTCGTACATCATGATCATGATGGCCACGTAGAACCTCGTGGTTGATGTATCAGTGTATATACTAGCTTTGTTGCCTCTAAATCCATGCCTCATCTGCTTTCAGTCTTATTCGATTTCGAGCTGAGGAATCCCCAAAGCGTTGGAAGAGGATGAAGAAGATGAAGCCGAAGAAAACATTGCGGCCAATGCGCAGGTAGGAGCATTGTGAAGTCAAAGGAAGGTCGAGTCAAAGTGTGCTTGGTTGGGGTTTTGCCAAATAATTTCACTTCCCTTGGACATCGCTTGCTGAAGTGTCCCAAATGGTGACCTAGACCAAAACCTCACTTGACCGATTCTTGGCCTCGCTTCCAACCCACGAGCAAAAACATGCCACGCACAAGCAAAGACAGCATGGTGATTGGTTGGGAGGTCATGCTGACTTTCCCCAACTATATGTATATACATACATATATATATATATTGTAGAACCCCCGTTTGGCTTAAGACTGCTTTTACCGTTTTGGTGCAGGAGGGGGGGGGTATTGGTGCACGGCTGGTGCGCGGAAAAGGAAAATAGGGGCAAGGGTGGGTCTGGGAAGGGAAAAATAGGTGCGGGAGTGGTTCTTGCCAATCTATGGATCCAGTCAGGATCCCGTCGGGACCCAGTCGGGCACCAATTTTTGCATTTTTGGGCACCGCTTTTGGCCAGTCGGGATCCAGTCGGGATCCAGTCGGGATCCAGTCGGGATCCAGTCGGGATCCAGTCGGGATCCAGTCGGGCACCAATGTCGGGAGGCAGCCAAATTCATAAAAAATAGCATTTTTGTAGTGTTTTTGCATGTTTTTCGGTGATTTTGGCTGCTTCCCGACAGGTCCAAACGTGGTGCCAAAAATTCGAAAATTGGTGCCCGACTGGATCCCGACTGGATCCCGACCCGGTTTCTTCAAAAAAACACCTATTTCCTTAAATTTGAGCACTGCCGTGCACCCCCCCCCTCCGGACCCCCCCCCACCAGTCTTAAGCCAAACACGGGCTTGGCAATATATATATACAATGTATACATAATGTATACATAATGTATACATAATGTATACATAATGTATACATACATACATACATACATACATACATACATACATACATACATACATACATACATACATACATACATACATACATACATACATATATTTATATACACATATGTACATAATTTGTGGCTTCTGAACACACGTTTTGTATCTTTTAGTATCTCCTGTCAAAATCTCTTTGAGCGTTTTGTCTGCACATCAGATCGCATCAGCTCATTTCATTGTTGGATATTGTGGTGGTAACCTTGGACAGACCTGTTGAACAGCCCAATCCACACTATATATTAAGCTTGAGCAATTATGCCATTGTTGAGCTGTTGAGCTGTTGAGCTCACAAAACCACCCCTGCACAACTATTAGGGCCAAGCCAGTATGTTGAACTGTTGCAATCAAACCAATCTTCGACCCCCCAAAAAACCCTTGATTTCCAGAAGCTTCGAAACATGGGCTTTAGCTCACAATTTAATCAGAAATTGAGCCTTTTCAACACAATGCAAGAAACAAAATGGAAGAAACACATCATTTCAGAGGAGCTCTAGTTGTGAAGTGATGCAAATCTCCCGTGCAGGCAATGGCAAATGAAATGGCAAACCCAACAGCTGCAGCGCCAAAGAGACCCGGTGAAGCATGATTAAGATCTGGATGTGCACCATGCAGTTGCTGAAGTGTTGCTTTACATTTGGTTTTTATAATGTTACGCCTGTTACGCCAGTTACGCGTCCTGTGAAAAATTACCTTTTTTGAATAGCCCATCCGAAGAGAAACTCCTTTGCTTCAGGGTCCATTGAGTTTCACCCTAGAAGAACATTGTAGCAGCTCTGCCTTTATTCGGTAGCGCAAACTAGGCAATTTTTGATATCCTTTGGTCTTCCATCCAAGTTCGAGGCTCTTAGGTTTGAACGGTAAAACTGATGCGAAGTTCACGCATTTTGCACACAATTTGACTGTTTTGACCAAGGACTGAAGCAGACTTGGTGGCGTAAGCAGCTGGCATGATTGTTCGGAACGCTGCGTGTAGGTCGCTGCCAAGGCATGGCTTTACATATCTATACATGGTAATTATATAGACATACATGTGTTTTCACTGATTCTTTCTTCCCTGGACACACTTTGCCAGGACTGTTTGTGTAGATCCGTCACTCCTTGGCAAGAAGGAAGATGACGAGGACAGGATGCCAGGAATAGATTTGAACAGATGAGTTTTTAAGTGTTGAGCCAGCTTGGCCTGTCAGCTTGGTCTCTCGGCTTGTCAGCCTATCATAGCCTATCAGGTGGAGGAACGAGGGAGAAGCAGATCTCGCGAGTGCTGTCCTTTGGAAGAGCCTAGCTCCTCCGCAGCTTCGAGGGTGGTCTCAGACAGTGAGTCTCAAACGTCTCAGCGTCTCAGAGTGTCTCAGAGCCTTTTCCCTCGCATTTTTGAAGAATCTTTCGAGGCGCTGGCGGAAAGAGAAGAACGATGCGATAGCTGCTCGTGTTGAAGCAAACAAAGCTGAGGTGTGGTGCTGCGAGTTGGCAAGCTTTGCAATCCCACAAGGGACTTCCTCGAAAGGTTGACTATGAGTAGATCTTTGCAGGTGATTCATGGTTGAATCAAACGTTGTGATTTTTGACTTCTCTCCTTCCACAGCAAAGCCCTGGAAACTAGCTGTATCTAGCTCAAGTTGTTGCTACTCCAACAGAAGAAAAGCAGAGCCAGGGAAAGGACTTTCAGTACCTCAGACACATCAGTATGTCCGTCCTTTGAGGCGATTGACTCTCTCTTCATTCCCTAAAATAAAAACAAGTTGGGTCTGGCGGCCAGAGAACCCAAAAGCAAAACGGCACATAGCACACCTTTTCTGAAAATCTTGTGGTGTGGGCAGCTGTGCTCTGCACGAAATCGACGCAAGATCTTTATTGAGACATGGTGCGCACTGATGGTATCAGGGGCCACAATTCACCACAGCATGCCCGTGTCAGCTACGTCGAGTCTACATTCTTCTAGTCGCTAGTTCTGCTATTGAATGTAACTCTATCCCATCTTTCTAGTCGCTATTTATGCCTGGGTTCTCGTTTAGTTTGCTTCGCCGCAGAGGGAGCAAGGACGAAGCGTGGACGGACAGAACACCGTGCGAAACGAAAACTAAACAACCGCGTGGCCGGAAAGAAGAGCAGGAGGGAGTTGACTGAAAGAGCGGGAAGACGAAAATATGAAAATGACAGATGATGAATGATTATGAAACATGAGACATCATGAAAGATGTGTAGAGACTTCTCTACATAAAAACTTCTTTGCGAAAAAAGATACTGTGTATAAACGCGTCTGTGCGTAAAAACTTCTGTGTGTAAAAGCTCCTCTGTGTAAAGGTTTTTTGTGTGAAAAACTTTTGTGTGTAAAAGTCTCTGTGTAAAGTTTCTTTGCGTAACAGCTTCTGTGTGTAAAAGCTTCTGTGTAAAAACTCCTCTGTGCGCTTAAAAGTTTCTGTGCGTAAAAGTTTCTTTGCGTACCAGCTTCTGTGTGTAAAAGCTCCTCTGTGTAAAGGCTTTTTCCCCGAATGCGTAGCAAGGGTTCTCCTTTCACTGGGGGTCTGGGGGTTGAGGGTGTGTTCGCTCCACGTCGCCTAACCGTCCGCAACTGTTCGCAATCGTCCGCAACCGTTCGCAACCGTCCGCAGCCGTCCACAACCGTCCGCGCGAGGTCGCTTTGGCCGTGCCTATGGTAAGTTCTGCAAAAGGGGTCACTTTTGGAGGTTTCAAATGTCGCGTTGCTTCGTTTGGCGTGGCAGGCGTGGCACTTCGTGACATTCAGACGTGTTTTGTACCGTGTCTAAAGTCGTTTTGCGTGGCAGGCGCAATAATTTTGAGTCGTTTTCACAAGATGAGTTGCAGTTTCCGTGGCAGGCCCAGCATTTTGGAGATCTCTGTCGTCATTTTGCATGGCAGGCGCAGCACTTCAGATGTGTCGCATTAGGTGCTCTACTCTCCACACTCTACACTCCACACTCCACACTCCACCCTTTACACTTCACACTCCACACTTTACATTCCACACTGTACACTCTACACTTTACACTCTACGCTTTACACTCTACAGTCCACACTCTACACTCCACACTCCACACTCCACACTTCACACCACACTCTACACTTTACACTCCACACTCAACACTTTACACTTTACACACCACACTTTACACTCTACACCTCACACTTCACACTCCACACGTCACACTTTACACTCCACACTTTACACTCTACACGGCACACTTTACACTCCACACTCTACACTCTACACTCCACACTCCACATATCACACTCCACACTCCACACTTTACACTTTACACTCCTCACTCCACACTCCACACTCTACACTCCACACTCTACACTCCACACTCCACACTCCACACTTTACACTTCATATTCACACTTAACACTTTACACTTTACACTCCACACTTTACACTTCAGACTCCACACTCTACACTCCACACTCCACACTTTACACTTCATATTCACACTTCACACTTAACACTTTACACTCCACACTTTACACTTCAGACTCCACACTCTGCACTTTACACTCCACACTCTACACACGACACTCCCCACTTTACACTTTACAGTCTACACTCCACACTTTACACTCCGCACTCCACACTTTACACTCCACACTCCGCACTCCGCACTTTCCGCTTTACACTCCACGCTGCACTTTCCACTCCTCACTCCTCACTCCACACTCTACACTTTACACTCCACACTCTACACTCCACACTCTACACTCACACTCCACACTCCACACTCTACACTCCACTCTCCACACTTCACACTCCAGACTCTACGCTTCATATTCACACTTAACACTTAACACTTTACACTCCACACTTTAAACCTCAGACTCCACACTCTACACTTTACACTCCACACTCTACACACGACACTCCCCACTTTACACTTTACAGTCTACACTCTACACTCCACACTTTGCACTCCGCACTCCACACTTTCACACTTTACGCTTTACACTCCACACTACACTTTCCACTCCTCACTCCTCAGTCCACAATCTACACTTTACACTACACACTCTACACTCCACACTCTACACTCACACTCCACACCACACTCTGGTGCCACACTCTACACTCCACACTCCACACTTCACACTCCACACTCTATGCTTCATATTCACACTTAACACTTTACAGTTTACACTCCACACTTCACACTCTACACTTTACACTCCACACTTTACACTGCACTCTACACACCACACTCCACACTTTACACTTTACACCCCACACTTCCTCCACACCCCACACCCCACACTCTACACTTACACTCCACCCTCCACACTCTACACACGACACTCCCCACTTTACACTTTACACTCCACACTTCACACTTTACACTCCACACTTCACACTCTACACTCCACACTCCACACTTCACACTTCACACTCTACACTCCACATTTCACACTTTACACTCCACACTCCACACTCTACACTGCACACTTTACACTTTTCACTCCACACTCCACACTTTACACTTCAGACTCCACACTCTACACTTTACACTCCACACTTTACACTTTACACTCCACACTTTACACTCCACACTTTACACTCCACACTTTACACTCCACACTTTACACTCCACACTTGAACCTCCACTCTCTCTCTCTCTCTCTACGCACACACACACACACTCCACACTCCACACTTTACTTTACCCTCCACACTACACTTTCCACTCCTCACTCCACACTCTGCACTTTGCACTCCACACTCTACACTCCACACTACACTCACACTCCACACTCCACACTCTACACTCCACACTCTACACTCCACACTCCACACTTTACACTTCATATTCACACTTAACACTTTACACTTTACACTCCACATTTCACACTCCACACTCTACACTATACGCTGTGCACTATACGCTGTGCACTGCACGCTCCACACTCTACACTTTACACTCCACACTCCACACTCTACACTTTAAACTCCACACTTTACACTTTACACTCGACACACCACACTCCACACTCCACACTTTACACTTTACACTCTACACTTTACACTCCACACTCCACACTCCACACTTTACACTTTACACTTCACACTCTACACTCCACGCTTTACACTTGACACTTTACACTCCACACTCCACACTCTACACGCGACACTCCCCACTTTACACTTTACACCCCACACTTCGCACTTTACACTCCACATTTCACACTTTACACTCCACACTCTACACTCCACACTTTACACTTCAGACTCCACACTCTACACTTTACACTCCACACTCTACACTTTACACTTCAGACTCCGCACTCTGCACTTTACACTCCACACTCCACACTTTACACTTTACACTCCACACTCCACACTCTACACTTTACACTCCACACTTTACACTCCACACTCCACACACGCACACACACTCCACACTCCACACTTTACACGTCATATTCACACTTTACGCGTCATATTCACACTTAACACTAGATTCTACACTGTACACTCTACACTTTACACTCCACACTGTACACCCCACACTTCCTCCACACCCCAGACTCTACACTTTACGCTCCACACTCAAGACTTTACACTTTACACACCACACTTTACACTCTACACCTCACACGTCACACTCCACAGGTCACACTTTACACTCCACACTCTACACTCCACACTTTACACTCTACACGGTACACTTTACACTCCACATTTCACACTTTACACTCCACACTCTACACTCCACACTTTACACTTCAGACTCCACACTCTACACTTTACACTCCACACTCCACACTCTACACTCCACACTCTACACTCCACACTCCACACTTTACACTTCATATTCGCACTTAACACTTTACACTTTTTACTCCACATTTCGCACTCCACACTCTACACTATACGCTGTGCACTGCACGCTCCACACTCTACACTTTACACTCCACACTCTACACTTTACACTCCACACTTTACACTCCACACTTTACACTTTACACTCGACACACCACACTCCACACTCCACACTTTACACTTTACACTCCACACTCTACACTCCACGCTTTACACTTGACACTTTACACTCCACACTCCACACTCTACACACGACACTCCCCACTTTACACTTTACACCCCACACTTCGCACTTTACACTCCACATTTCACACTTTACACTCCACACTCTACACTCCACACTTTACACTTCAGACTCCACACTCTACACTCTACACTTTACACTCCACACTCTACACTTTACACTTCAGACTCCACACTCTGCACTTTACACTCCACACTCCACACTTTACACTCCACACTCCACACTCTACACTTTACACTCCACACTTTACACTCCACACTCCACACACGCACACACACTCCACACTCCACACTTTACACGTAATATTCACACTTTACGCGTCATATTCACACTTAACACTAGATTCTACACTGTACACTCTACACTTTACACTCCACACTGTACACCCCACACTTCCTCCACACCCCACACTCTACACTTTACGCTCCACACTCAAGACTTTACACTTTACACACCACACTTTACACTCTACACCTCACACGTCACACTCCACAGGTCACACTTTACACTCCACACTCTACACTCCACACTTTACACTCTACACGGTACACTTTACACTCCACACTCTACACTCTACACTCCACACTCCACATATCACACTCCACACTCCACACTTAACACTTTACACTTTACACTCCACACTCCACACTCTACACTCCACACTCTACACTCCACACTCCACACTTTACACTTCATATTCGCACTTAACACTTTACACTTTACACTCCACATTTCACACTCCACACTCTACACTATACGCTGTGCACTGCACGCTCCACACTCTACACTTTACACTCCACACTCCACACTCTACACTTTACACTCCACACTTTACACTCCACACTTTACACTTCACACTCTACACACCACACTCCACACTCCACACTCCACACTTTACACTTTACACTCCACACTCTACACTCCACGCTTTACACTTGACACTTTACACTCCACACTCCACACTCTACACACGACACTCCCCACTTTACACTTTACACCCCGCACTTCGCACTTTACACTCCACATTTCACACTTTACACTCCACACTCCACACTCTACACTGCACACTTTACACTCTACACTCCACACTCCACACTTTACACTCCACACTTTACACTTCAGAGTCCACACTCTGCACTTTACACTCCACACTCCACAGTTTACACTTTACACTCCACACTCTACACTTTACACTCCACACTTTACACTCCACACTCCACACACACACTCCACACTCCACACTTTACACGTCATATTCACACTTTACACGTCATATTCACACTTAACACTAGATTCTACACTGTACACTCTACACTTTACACTCCACACTGTACACCCCACACTTCCTCCACACCCCACACTCTACACTTTACGCTCCACACTCAACACTTTACACTTTACACTCTGCACTTCGCACTCTATACTTTTCACTCCACACTACATTCTTGCACTTCTTTGATGTTTCCCTATCTACGCATTTGCGGAATCCGTACCATTATCATACGTGTGAGCATTCGGGTTCGTGGGCTGCATCTTGTTTTATGTAAAAGTTCTGTGGGTAGAAGCTTAGAATTCTGCGTGTAAAAGCTTCCTTGTGCAAAAGCTTCTGCGTGTAAAAGACTTCACTGTGTAAAAGCTCCTCCATATAAAAGCTCCTCTGTGTAAGGGCTGCTCTGTGTAAGGGCTGCTCTGTGTCAAAGGCTTCTCTGTGTAAAAGCCTCTGTGTGTGTGCAAGCTTCTCTGAGAGAACTTCTCTGTGCCAAGACTTCTCTATGTAAAGACTTCTCTGTGTAAGAGCTACTCTGTGTAAAAACTTCTGTATGTACAAGCTTCGCTGTGCAAACGCGTCCGTGTGTAAAGCTTTTAAAGGCTCCTCCGTGTAAACGCGTCTGTGTAAAAGGCTTATGTGTGTAAGAGCTTCTCTGTGTATAGGTTTTTTTGCGTAAAAACTTCAGTGTGTAAAAGTTTCTTTGTGTAAAAGTTTCTGTGTGTAAAAACTCTTCTGTGTGTACAAGCTTCGCTGTGTAAAAGCTGCTCTGTGTAAAAGTTTCTGTGTGCCGTAAAGCTGTCTGTGTGTAAAACCTTCTGTGTGTAAACGCGGCTTTGTGTAAAAGCTTCTGTGTGTAAACCTTCTTTGTGTAAAGACTCCTCTGTGTAAATGCGTCTGTGGGTAAAACCTTCTGTGTGTAAAAGCTCCTCTGTGTACAGTTTTTTTTTGTGTAAAAGCTTCTGTTTGTAAAAGCTTCTGTCTGTAAGAGCTTCTCTGTGTGAAGGCGTTACCGTGTAAACGCTTCTGTGTCTAAAAGGTTCTGTGTGTAAAGCTCCTCTGTGTGTAAGCGTCTCTGTGTGTAAAAGCTTCTGTGTAAAAGTTTCTTTGTGTAAAAGCGTCTGTGTGTAAAACCTTCTGTGTGTACAAGCTTCTCTGCGTAAAAGCTTCTCTATGTAAAGGCTTCTCTGTGTAAAAGACTTCTCTGTGTCAAAGCCTCTGTGTGTACAAGCTTCTCTGTGTCGAGACTTCTCTATGCAAAGACTTCTCTGTGTAAACACTACTCTGTGCAAAAACTTCTGTGTGTAGAAAACCTGTGTGTAAAAACTTCGCTGTGTAAAGGCTGCTCTGTGTAAAAGTTTCTGTGCGCCGTAAAGCTGTTTGTGTGTAAAACCCTCTGTGTGTAAATGCGTCTGTGTGTAAAAACTTCTGTTTGTAAAAGTTCCTCTGTGTAAAGACTGCTCTGTGTAAACGCGTTTGTGTGTAAAAGCTCCTCTGTGAAGCTTCTCAGTGTAAAAGCTTTCCTGCGTAAAAGTTTCTCTGTGTAAAATCTTCTGTGTGTAAAGTGCTCCCTTCTCTGTCTAAAAGCTCCTCTGCCTAAACCTCCTCTGTGTAAAAGCTGCTCTGTGCAAAAGCCTCTGTGTGTGCAAGCTTCTCTGTGTCAAGGCTTCTCTGTGTAAAGTGTGTAGGCTTCTCTCTGTAACAGCTGCTCTGTGTAAAACCCGTGCCAACAGCTCTGCATTTTTAGCGCCGCTCCCTTCCAGCAGAGCTCTCCCTTCTTTCCCCACCTTTCCGTTTACGCTGATGAATCTCCTATGCTTGGGTTCGAGCGAAGACGAAGCATCAACGGGCAGAATGCCGTACAAAATCAAACCCCTCCAGCAACGAACTTTTTCCCACGCAAGTCCCATTGCCCAGCGTTTGGCATCGATTTCACAAGTCTTAGGCGCACACTTTTTCGGGACAATCGCGTTGATGGAAGTTGTCCTGAAAACCCGGTGCCAAAAGCTCTGCATTTTAGTGTCGCTCCCTCCCTACGCAGCAAGCTATTTCCACGTCTTGGACCCGCAGTTTTCCAGGACAATCGCATTGATGGAAACTGTCCCAAGAAAACCATGCCATCAGCCAGCTTTGTATTTTTGCATCGCTCCCTCCCAGCGGATCCTCCCAAGCTAATTATAATTCCACGCTTCACAATCCACACGCGCTTGACCGGCGTTCCCGCCTCGCTCCCTTCAGCGGAACCCCCCCAAGCTATTCCGCTTCACAGTCCATCACGCTCCTCCGGCGCTTCCGTCTTGTTCCCCCAAGTCCATGCTTCACAGTCCATCCACGCTGTCGCTCCCTGCAGACCTCCCTCCAAGCCATTTCCACGTTTCACAGTCCATCCACGCTCGTCCGACGCTCCCGTCTCGCTCCCTCCAGCAGAGCTCGCCCCAAGCTATTTCCACGCTTCACTCACAGTCCAGCCGAGCTCTGCCCAAGCTATTTCCACACTTCACAGTCCATTCACGACGCTCCCGTCTCGCTCCCTCCAGCGGAGGCCCCCCAAGCTTTTTCCACGCTTCACAATCCATCCAAGTTCGTCCGGCGTTCCCGCCTCGCTCCCTCCAGCGAAACTCCCCCCAAGCTATTTCCAACGCTTCACAGTCGATCACGCTCGTCCGGCGTTCCCGCCTCGCTCCGTCCAGCGGAACTCCCCCCAAGCTATTTCCACGCTTCACAGTCCATCCGCGCTCGTCCGGCGCTCCTGCCTCGCTCCAGCAGAGCTCCCCCCAAGCTATTTCCAACGCTTCACAGTCCATCCACGCTCGTCCGACGCTTCCTGCTCGCTCCCTCCAGCCGAGCTCCCCCCAAACTATTTCCACGCTTGCCAGTCCATCCACGCTCGTCCGGCGCTTCGGTCTCGCTCCCTCCAGCGGAGATCCCCCCAAAATATTTCCAAAGTATTTCCAGACTATTTCCACGCTTTCTACTCCGCCCGTGCTCGTGCCTTCCTTCCTTGCTTTCTTCCTTCCTTCCCCCTTTCCTTCCTGCCTTTCTTCCTTCCTTCCTTGCTCGTCCGGCTCTTCTGTCTCGCTCCCCTTGCGGCGAAGAAAGCTAAACGAGAACCCAAGCATCGGAGATGCTTTTGTGGAAAAAATCCAACACCAAGCGCAACTGCCAGTGAGACTATGTACAAGTATTTTCTTTTTACTTCAAAGACGCACCCTTTCCACAACCAGCATGCACTGTGTTGTCATGCATTCACATTTCAGTTGGCTATTTGACACGTCCACGGTGCCACTGACAACAATCGCGAATGGACCGAACTCTTAGTCTTGTCCGACCTGCACTGGTCCACTAGCAATCAATTTTAGTGTGTCATTGACGTTCTGAATTTCATTCGTGGTGATGCCCCACTTAACGACAATTTTGCGGAACTTTCAGCATGCATCATCGATTTGCCATATGCAAGGGAAAACGGTGTGGATGGGTGCCTCTGACATGTTTGTTTGCGGGTGGCACTGCTGAGCAGTTTGCCCGAAAGCTGGCTGCAACCTCGTGAAGGAACGTCTTGCCTTGTCAGAGTCTCATTCCAGGTAGTGTCTGGACCGCCAGTGCAAGGTTCGAATCAGGATTCTGGCGCAAAGGACCTGTTGAAATGATTGCAGAGTCAACAGGGAAGCAACGAACGTCGAAGGTGATCTTAGTGATCACCGAAACGCATCTGATCACATCTTAATTCTGTGTCATGGCAAAGCATTGCTTTGGGCGTGGTGAGGAGCCGGAAGAATGCAGGGATGAGCTCATGAAGCTCCCTGCTTGAACCTCAGCTTCGGCCCTCCGCTGAAAAGTGTTTTCTCACCAAATCTCATTCGGTTTGAGGACACTGAGGAATATAAAGGACTCAAAGAACACAACTTAATTATGGATCAATGCTTTCCAGTTTTGTGATTTTGTCCATCCTGCAGTTGATGTTTTGCTCTATACTCAGGACTTCCCTAGTCATACGCCGTTTTTTGATCTGAAGGTCTCAGCCCTCAAGCAACTTCTCATCAAGTTTGGGAAAACAGCGCGCGGCTGTTTGGAGAAGAAGGACATTTCAAAAGTCAAAGCCAGGCCAAACTTCAATTCGAATTCAAACCATTTCAAGCACTCCGGTGCCAGGACTTTGTGGATAGACTGAAGCCAAGTTGACGCTGCGGACAAGGGAAAACAAAGGTATCGAACGTGCTGCAGCCGCTGCAAACGCAAAGAGAAACAACAAGCGATGATTCAGCTGAACGTAGCTGAACAGACAGCTCAGCCACCAAATCTCCACCATGCGTCACTGGAAACTATTTTTTCAGTCCATGGTCTGGCCCTGGCCTGACAAGATATGTAATGATCAAAAACGGATGCAATGGATGCAAAAGAACCTCGAAATTTCAAAAGACAATGCGCCAACAGTAGCAGCACCAAGGGCCAGGAGTGAGCGAAAAGCCTCGGAAGCCGAGGAGATTGTGGAGCTAGCCTGAAACTGCATGGAAATCATGTAAACATATTTATTACTGTGAATGTCACTGCATCATGTCCGGTACAGTTGCACCACAATTAGCATCTGATTCAGGCCATCCGACCTGGCGGCCAACTTGGCCCAATCACCACGCCAGGCACATGGGTTGTTCCTGCGTAAAAAGCCATGCGGCAGCTTTGTCTTCATTTTGAACGGCATCATTGGTAGCGGAGCTGGCCATTCGGGACAACTTCATCTACCTCATCCAGTACGGCGAGTGGGATCCAACTACTTCCTTGAGGAGATTGCTGTGACGGTCTCCGACGAGGACGATGGTGCAACAATGGCGCCCTAGAGGTGCAGCAGCTGAGGGTACTCGGGCTGCCGCCGCGGATTCCGTCGAGAGCGAGGGTGCTCTGACGGAGCCGGGAGCGGAAAGCAGTGAGGCAGCCCGGGCTTCAGATCTACAACGTGGAGAAGAACTACAAGCAGTTGGTGCCGACGATGAGGACTGGTGGGGAAGCGGTGGCTGGTATGGAGATCAGTGGAACAATGACTATGGCTACGACCGACGGTGGTGGTGGCCGGGAACTTGGAGCTGGGCACCTAGTTCGTGGCAGGACTCTGGATGGGACGCACGCCGTGGCAGCAATGTGTCCAGAGTGGAAGAAACCACGATGGTGAAAGATGGAAAATGGCAAGGAGCTCAGCCTCAGGGCAGTGTGGGTCCAAGCAGCACCTGGGACGATGAAGGACATGGAGATGATCAAGCCCGTCCCGGTGGAGGCCCAAGGTCAAATGAGAAGCTGGTGGTGCCCGAGTTTGCGGGTGAAGCTGGAGAAGCAGACTTGGGGAAGTCTGCACGGAGCTACCTACGTAAGGTGGCGGCTTGGTTGAAGTGCACAAGGATGCCTGAGAAAGATCGTGGAGTGGCATTGTATACAAACTTGAGTGGAAAGGCATGGGTTTTTGCGGAAGAGCTGGACGTGGACAGGCTGGCACAAGCTGGAGGAGTCCAGTACTTCCAAGACTGGATCAGAGTCCGGTTTATGGAGATGGAGGTCACCAAGGTTTCCAATGTGATGGCAGAGCTGTTCAGGCGTTGTCGTCGACGACCTGAGCAGCCGGTGAGGGACTTCAACGTGGAGTTTGAGAGGCTTCTGCTCCATCTGAAGGAGTTGGATTGCGAGCTCCCGGGCTTGGTGAAGGCTTGGCTCTACTTGGACAAGCTGAAGGTGACAGAAGCCGAAGAACTCGCCTTGCTGGCGAGTGTGCACAACCAGTATGATGTGAAGATGCTGCAGCAGGCGGCGATTCTTCACGACCGTGGAGTGAAGAAGTCAAACTGGGAGCGCAGTGGGCAGCGCTGGAACCACAACTACCAGGGTGGAGCCAAGACCGTGCACGTCACCAACCATGTGGACCAATCTTCTGAAGAAGAGCAAGAGGGACTTGGAGATGAAGAACCATCGGACTCTGAGCTTGTGTCGGAGAATGTGGCCGAGCACTACCACAGCGCTTTCATGGCCTTCCAGGATGCAAAGTCGAAGTACAGAGAGGCCATGAAAGGGCGCGGAGTGGACCCTTCGGAGCTGAAAAGGCGTAGTGAAGACCGCCTTAAAGCAGCCAAGGCAAAGAGCTTCTGTGCGGCTTGCAAACGCCGTGGACACTGGCACCGTGACCCTGAGTGTCCGTTGAGGGGCAGGTCGTCTACGGCATCGGGCTCTGGTGGGGATGGTCCTCCGAAAGCCGTGCAGGTATGCAACAACGTGCAGATGTGCTACATGGCATCAGGCAGCGTAGAGGACTATGAGGCTGAGAATGCCCGGGTGGCGATCACGGCATCCGAGGGGGTTCAGGACAATGACAATGCAGTCAACCAGTTCTACATGCTGGCAATCGCAGACACGGCATGCACCAAAGCTGTGGCAGGGCACAGGTGGTACGAGCAGTACTGTCAGATGGCTGATGAGAAGGGCTGGGAGATCGAAATCATTGAGGAGCACGATCGCTTCAAGTTTGGGGCCTCCCGCATCCATGACTCACAGTTTGCAGTCATGGCCAACTTCGCCATTCAGAAGCAGCCCTTCAAGGCCAAGATAGCCATCGTTCAGTGCGACGTGCCCCTCTTGTTCAGTCGAACTGTTTTGATTTTCTTAGGAATGACTTACCATGTGGATGGGCAGAGGTCAGACCTGCGAAGCTTGGGTCTGGAAGGGGTCATGATGGAAACATCCCCAACTGGCCATCCCTCTTTTCATGTGACAGATTACCCGGCCGACATGACCTTGCAATTGTCCAAAGATTGGACCACGGTCGACGAGCGGGTGAAATTTCCGATTTTAGATCCTTTGCCGGGCAGTGTCAATCTTGCCGACGATGATGCCGGCGCCGAGTCAGCATACAAGGAGCTTTCTGGTTCGGTGGGTGAGAATGGGAACAGTGGCAAAAAGTTTCTTTTCTATCCGAAAAAGATTCCCATCGAAATTGAGAACATGCTGAAAGCACCGGATTTGTCTAGGGTGGCATTTTTTGCATGGTGGAAATCAGCAAACCAGAGTCGAGATTTTTGGATTGAAACATCTGATTCACTTGTCAGAGTACATGTGGTGCCGAGAAAATTTCCTTTCGATCCTTCTGCATGGAAGACCCCACTTCGAGACATGAAACATCAACTGTTGGAAACTTTGGATGACATCAGATTCACAGACGTGATCCCATGTCATGCGGAAGGACTTCAAGAATCGAGGCATCAAGGTTTTTGGAGGTCACAGAGTTTGCATTCTGATGGTGATCGCATGGATGGCATGTTTGGGAACTTATGGATTGGTCGCAGCTGTTTCAAGAAGCGCATCTCAAAGTGCGAGCCCCAACCGATCTTGCAAGCTTCTCATGCCACCATCGAGCGCGGCGGCACTGTTGCTTTCGCCATGGAAGATGAACCGAGCTCAACTGGTGGAAGAGTTGGAGCTCTACGAGATTGCAATCCATCCGAGGTGGTTGGTGCCGGAGTTGCGGCAGACGGCGATCGAGCAGAGGGAGATTCGGCATCCTCGGGAGACAGCCAACCCGGCGACAGGACTGTCGAAACTGAAGTTGGAGGAGCTCATCAACAAGGCCAAAGAGTTGGACTTGGTGGTTCCCCCAAAGCCGACAAGAGGGATCCTCTTGAAGATGATCCGAGAAGCCTCGCAACCACCGTCCGAACAGGTCATGACCTTCGGCAAGTATCGAAGCTGGCTCTACAAGGAGGTGCCGGAGGGCTACATGGAGTGGAGTATCAAGGAGGTGAAGGCGAACAGCAACTGCTCGCCGGATCTGAGGCTGTTCGCAACTTGGGCAACACAGGAGCTGGCAGCACGGAAGGACCGTGCAAAGACCTCGGGAAGAGTGCTTCCGGCGGAGGATCCGGAGGTGAAGGCAGTCATCGACCCGCCAGACCTCGCATCCGTGATGTCTTGGACGTCTTCGGCAAGTGTGGCATCGGCAAAGAGAGCGGCAGCTCCGAGAGAGAAGCATCAACTGAGGGTGGAAGAGGATCTGGCAAGAACATCGATGGAAGCCGAACTCACCGAGGAGGACAAGGCAGAGTTGGAGATGCTTCAGACTCGACTGGCAGCGATGAAGCAGAAGTATCATCTACCTCCTCGTGGGGATCCGCAATGAAGAAGAAGTTGCAAGGCTGGTGGATGGGAAACGCAAGGGGCCAGCCGAGTGCGGAGGCTAGCACTCCACTCAGGGACATTGACATCGTTGCTGAGAATGACAAGAAACTCGGGCTTGGCAGCGAGACTGAGTATGACATGAAGGGTGAGTATGAGGCCGAGATCGGGCTTAGCACAGAGGCTGAATATAAGGAGACCCCGGAAGAGGCCTTCGTCATGGAAGTTGAGCATGAGTCCATGTCGGACACCAGTGCAACTATGAGCCCCCGGGAGCGTGCTGTGGAGGGCATGCGCCGCAGGAGGGAAGCGAAACGTCCAGTGAGGAAGAAGCTGGTTGCCATGGGGAGGAAACTACATCAAGTTCTTTTGGCAAGCGCTTTTGCACTTGGAAGCATGGCAAATGAGTGCGTGGTGGAGCCTGGGATGGACTTTCTTTCTCATGCTGTTCACGGCTCAGACTATGGAAGTAGAGATCAACCGGAGCTCTTGGAGATCTTCGCCGGGTCAGCCAACTTGTCTGGGGCATTTGCAGCTGCCAGGCGTGGGGTGATGAGACCGGTTGACATCGTCTATGGGGACGACTTGAGACAAGAAGATGTTCGTCAAGAACTATACCACAAAATCAAGAAGGAGAAACCGAAGTTGGTATGGTTGGCACCTCCATGCACAGCGTGGTGTGGATTTTCTCGTCTCAACTTTTCGAAGCAGGAGTTGAGACGCAGGAGACGCAAAGAGAAGGTTTTCATCGAACTCATGGACGAGATCATGCTCTTGCAACTGGCCGGTGGCAGAGATGTCATCGTGGAGAACCCCCTGACCAGTGACCTGTGGAGAGATCCTACGATGGCCAGGTGGTGCTCTGACAGGTCAATGAGCTTTTTCCGTACTGATCTTTGCCAGTATGGAATGACATCCCTGGACGAGAAGGAGCTCCTCCGGAAGCCCATCAAGCTTCTGGCCACCAATGCAGTGTACAAGGAGGAGCTGGAGGCCAGGTGCGATGATTTGCATTCGCACCGAGTGATCCAAGGAGTGGAAACCGCACATTCAGCGGAGTATCCGAAGAAGTTTGCCGAGGCGGTGATGAGAGCATCGGGAAGGGCATCCAAACAGGCAAACCAGGAGGTCTTCATGAACCAGGACGACGATTTTGATGAACTTCTTGGTGAGATGGAGATCGCTCCAGAGGGTGCAATGGTGGAAAAGGGTGCACGACAGCCCATTGTCCAAAGTAGTGGAGCTGAGGACATCACCTTCAAGGGGCCGATCAAGGCCGTGGTCGCAGGGGCACTTAAGAGACTGCATCAGAATCTTGGACATCCTCCTCGTCGTGAACTGGTGCGACACTTACGTCTGGGTGGGGCCTCTCAGGACATGATCGAGGGGGCTGAGAAGTTGGAGTGCAAGACTTGCGCACATTGCGCACAGCCCAAGCCGCATCGAGTGGCCAAGCCCGCAGCGCTCTTGGACTTTAATGAGGCTGTGGCATTGGACATCATTTTCCTGGACACATTGGACACCACGGGGCACTTGGCTTTGAATATGGTAGACATGGCCTCAACATATCAAGTGGTGATCCCGATTCCCAACCGAAAGTCCAGCACGGTGGCCGAGACATTTTACCGCCATTGGATTTCTTGGGCGGGAGTTCCTGGGAGGTTGGTCTTGGACTTAGACACCGCCTTCCAGGACAGCTTTTGGGAGCTGACTTCTGACGAAAGCATCAGCATGCGGGCTGCAGCCGGACAAGCACATTGGCAGAATGGAATTGCTGAGCGGTATGGCTCAACATGGAAAGATGTTTGGCAGCGGCTGGGCAAGATGCAAGGGATCCGTGACCATGAGATCCATGATGCAGCTGGAGCAGTGAGTGAGGCAAGAAACTCACTTCGAAACAGGAGTGGGTTCTCGCCCCGCCAGTGGGTCTTTGGAACCAATGGGAAGACCATGACAAACCTCGAGGATGACGAGGACTGGAGCGCTTTGTCAGCAATCACATCAGATGAGAAGATGGGCAGAAAACACGCTCTGAAGATAGCAGCTAGGGCAGCTTTCTTTGAAGTCCAGAATGGGGCTGCAATCAAGAAAGCCCTATCACATCGAGCCAGAGTCAAACCACGGCAGTATCAACCTGGGGATTTGGTTTACATCTATCGGGCCGATCCATCAAACAAGAAAACAAAGGCAAAGTGGATTGGCCCTGCTACGATCATTGGTGCCGAGGGTTCCAACTACTGGGCAGCTCGTGGTGGCAGGTGTCTCTTAGCGGCTGCAGAACATCTTCGCCCAGCTGATCATGAGGAAGTATCGTTGACTCTGAGGATCAAAGCAGCTATCCAGGAGGTGAACAAGGCATTGGACAAAGAGTTCGCTGACCTGGCTGATGATCCGTCAGACATGGAAATGGAATCTGAGGGCGATGCGGTGGTTCAGACCTCCGCCGAGAAGCCTACTTCTTCAGAGATGGAGGTGGATCGTGGCAATCGTCGACGGAAAGCAGAAGATATCGAGAAGAAACATAAGACCCTCAAGAAGCAAGCCAAGCTCTTGGATGATGTCCCATTGTCTTTGAGAGGTGGGGGACAGCCAAGGACGTTTTTCACCAAGCATGGACTTACTGGTGAAGCCTTGGAGAAAGCCTTGGACAAGGAGTTGCCTTGGAACATGATCCCGCCGGGAGAGAAAGAGAAGTACCGCGAGGCTGAGCTCAAACAGTGGAAGGAGCACATGGATTTTGGTGCCGTCCGACCACTCAGCCTTGCAGAGTCCAAAGAAGTTGAGAACAAGATTGGCAAAGAGCGGATTCTTCCTGCTCGCTTCCTGTACAGAGACAAGAACCGAGCCCGCCGCAGAGTGGACCCTGGAGTGGCTTGCAAACCAAAGGCACGATTGTGCGTCGGAGGCCAGAAAGATCCTGACTTGGGTCAAATGGAGATGAATGTGGATGCACCGACTGCCAGCAGGCATGCAGTGCTCCTTGGACTTTTGATGAGCCTGAGCCGCGAGTGGAAGGTGGCTGTCGGTGACATCAGGGCCGCTTTCCTGAATGGAGTTGAAGCACCTCGAGGCCTCTATTTCCGCCAGCCGGTGAGGGGAATCCCATCATTAGTTCCTGGACAAATCATTGAGATCGTCAAGGGAGTTTTTGGGTTGGCAGCCTCACCAAAACTTTGGTGGCTGAAGCTATCAACAGAGCTTCTGAGCATGGTTATCGAGCTCAAGGGTGAGGCTTATGGTGTCGAGCAGAATGAGATCGACCCTTGTGCTTTCCGGTTGGTTTGCAAAAGAGACAGAAAGGTGGCTGGAATGATTTTCACACATGTGGATGACCTCCTCATCATGGCGGAGGACGAACTGCTGGCAGCTCTTAAGGAAAAGTTGGCGGGCAAGTTTCCAATCGATGAGTGGGAACAAAACGACTTTGAGTACGTTGGGTGTGAGTATCAAATCCGAGCTGATCATGTGCGCATCACTCAGACTAACTACACCCAAGCCAGAGTGGAGAAGGTCAATGTTCCTGCTGACCTTCATGATGATGAGCCCGCTTCCCCTGAACTGGTGCAGAGGCATAGAAGCATGGTGGGAGCGCTCTCATGGTTGGCAAAGCAAACCCGACCGGATTTGCAATTCTCCGTTGCTCAGGCACAACGGATTCAGAACCATCCCACAATTGGCGACATCAAGCAGACCAACAAGGTGGTGGACTTAGCCAAGAAGCATAAAGAACAAGGAGTGCTTCTACGAAAAAATCCGGAAGAGGACATGGCAGTCTTCGCATTCCATGATGCGGCCTGGGGGAACGTTCACCCAGAACAAGTGCCTGATGTCCATCAGGAGTGGGAAGGGAACCACGCTTTGGGATCCCAGCTTGGATCTTTGGTGATGATCGGAGACAAGAAATGCCTCAACAACCAGCCCAACCCAGCTTCGATGGTGGATTGGAGAAGCAAATCATCGACACGGGTGTGCAGGTCAACGTTTGCTGGAGAAACCATGGCTTGTGGAGATGCCTTGGAGATGGCTTTGTTTTTGCGAGGATTGATGGTATCTTTCCTGCATGGTGGTTTGGTGATGGAGAATGGTGCGGGGAAGGTGCTGCCGTTGCATTTGATGACGGACTGCAGGTCGCTCTACGACCACCTCCACAGGGAGGGAGTCCCTAGACCTCCTTCCGAAAAGAGGCTTGCCATCGAGTTAGCTGCGATCCGACAGGCTTTGTCGATTGAGGGACGCCATCAATGGGCGGAAAAGCACGGAGCAGGTGAAATCCGGCCAGACAGGCCATTGAAACCTCCGATCCATTGGCTTCCGACAGATCGCCAACTCGCTGATGTTCTGACGAAGAAGATGGCTGCCACGACATGGTGGCAAATGATCGGTGAGGGGTGGCTGAGTTTTCCTTTTATGGTGCACAGCCAACATAGAGAGGCTGAGAGACTTGAAGCAGTGTGAATGTCACTGCATCATGTCCGGTACAGTCGCACCACAATTAACATCTGATTCAGGCCATCCGACCTGGCGGCCAACTTGGCCCAATCACCACGCCAGGCACATGGGTTGTTCCTGCGTAAAAAGCCATGCGGCAGCTTTGTCTTCATTTTGAACGGCATCAATTACAATATGTATAATGTAGACTGTCTGGTTGTTGGGAGAAGGCCAACGGTTCAACAAGGAGGTTAAAATACCTGCGCGGAATAGCGCCAACAAACAGGCCAAAGTTTGCCAACACACTTGTACAACTCGAAGCTTCATGCGGACGAGGGGCACAGATGGAGCAGTGCAGGGTACAAGTTTGCAGAATTTCATGATGGCATCGACAGCAACTGGAGCCGGGTGGAGGTACAACGTGCAGCAACAACTTCTGCTTTGCGCAAGAAAACATGGTGAAGAAGGGCAACCAATCAACATACAAAGAGGGAATGCAGAAACTTTGAGACGAGAATAATTCACACTATTTATACCTCCCACGTGGAGACTTTACTGGCAAGATAGGGCGCGCTTTCTTCCCCTCCCTTCTGAGATCCCTGCAGTTTACCTGTTCAAATATTCAACTATCCGAGAAGATTTCCCTGGTATCTGAGTTTTTGAACTCAGATCCTGACACATTCTCCCTACATTGCCCAATCATGTCACATGATTCTTTGCTGCCAGATCAAATACATTTTCACGTTGCAGCCTGGTTGCTTTACACGGCACTTCCACAAGCATCACAAGCTCTCTGGCTTGATTTTGACTCTTTTGACGACCTATTTGGCGCTGTCACATTGGCTCAGTGGGCTGGAGGTCCATAGTCAAAGGCCTGACCCATGCCTGCCTCGACTTGGGACAGACTTGCTAGAGACACAAAGATATTGTAGTAGTAGAAATGTAGTAACTGAGGAGTAGAGATTTAGTTCGTAGTAGAGATTTAGTTTGTGCCTTTTCTATCCTTTTCTCAGGCTTTCACAAGCTCGTTAGACACCTTGTCAGTTGCAGTTACAATGGCAGAGCCTTGCACAGAAACTTACTGTTTGCCACTGTGGCTGCAGGCAGCAAGCAAGGCCTATGAAGGCAATACGAGCCTTGTGTGGCCATGCCCAGGTGGGATCTGTGGTTTTCTCTGCCTTTTTGGATCTTTTTGGTTGGTTTTGTTGAACTTGAGGTGCTTGGCTGCTGTTGAAGAGATCCATGTTTTTGTGTCTTCATTTAAACAATGACCTTGGCTGAAATGGATGATGTCTCTGAGGGCTTTGCTGGTTGCTTGGATTGAAGTTTTTTGCTTTTTCCAAGGTCACATCGTGCTGCAGGTGTAAAGAAATGTTATGACTCCTTTCAATCTGAATATCAATGTCTTGGTAACGTCCTTCTAGTTGCCCTGAGTTGTACACCCTTTGCGCAGCCGCCCTGAACATTTTGCGTCCTGGGTCGTGGTCACAACCTGTTTGTTGGCATCCCGTTTTGTGATGTTGTGTGATGTCCCGCTGAAATATTCTTAGCATGCCTTATCCACGTTCTTGGTCTGGCAAGTGGCGTCAGCTTCATTTTGATCAGTGAGGAAGTTGCTTGGGTCGAACAGATGATTGAGTTTTGGATGATTTATGTTCTGTCCCTGCCTCATGTGTACTGCTGCCACCGTGGGTGCTGTGGGGTGTCACAGCTGCACCGCTTGCAATTTCAAGTGGTCTCGCCAAATTCAGTACTGGAGTAAGTTTCAAGTTTGCACAATGGACCCCTATATGACTTGCCTGGTCTGCTTGGCAGCTTCGCAAACTCTATATGTTTGCATTTCGTTTTTAGTAGCTACCAATAGCTATAGCCAATGGCTTTCCTGATGCTGACAATCAGTAGACCACACCAAATAGACTTAAATAGACAAGAGCACTTGTGTTGCCAGCGCCAAGCTTCCATTGAGAAGCGGCCGCCGTTGTATTGTGGCAATACGCAGCCACCAACTCCTGGCGCAGGTCACAAGATTTGTCAAGCCAAGGGCAGCAAGGGCAGTGAGTAGATGTCATGCAAACTTCTCAGATCTTACTTTGACATACTTTGACTTTGTTTGGTGGTCTTGCAGTTGTCAAAAACTCTTTCTGCTCGAATTGCATTTGTTTGCAACTTGTCTGGCTTGTTGCTGCATGAGGTGTACACCTTGCAAGCAAGGCGGGACTGCTTCGGTATCCTGCATCAATTGACTCTCCCTGACTCTCCCTTTCTCTCTGCGTTGCCGATGGCAGGTCTTGGGGAAGACAAAGGAGCTTCAGTTCCCAGGCGATGGAAAGCAAATGGAAAGCAACGAGCGCCGAGAGTTTAGTCATTTTGGCCTCGTCAATGAGAACACCGGGGAAGATCCTGGGCGATGCTGTCCATTGCTGTCGATTGCTGTCCTTTGCGGTCCGGAGTCTAGATATGTCCAGATACGTCCAGCTTCGTTCTGAAAAACCGGGTCTGGTTTCTTCTCATTTTTTGTCATGCTGTGGCAGGTCGCTTCGCTGCGAGAGCTGACAGGTGGAGAGGCACTGGCGCAGCGAGCTGTAGTGAATTCGAAGTAATGTAAAGCTCCCAAAGTGTTCTAACACATGTTGCAGCAAACATGTATATAACATGTCGGAAGACGTTCTAAGTAGACTCTGCGCCTTGAAGTGTGCCAGGTCATTTTCAACATGCTGGTTGAGCATGGTGTTGACACTGTGTTTGGATACAGTGGCGGCAAGCCCCTCAGCAATTGAGCATCGACGCGCTCTGTTTCCTCTCTGTGTTCAATTCTTTGGTCATATTCATGTTATTCATGCAACATCACAGACAACAAATTAAGTCAAAGGAACATGGCCTGGGAGTTCACAAGGGTTTTTCTTGCAGCTGTAGTGGAGACATCCTGTTTACCCTTCTCAAGAGCTAGTTCAGCTTTCCGGTTGACGGATCTTCCAGAGGAATTGGCACTACCCAGGAAAGAGGCAATCAAGTTTGTACGTTCGAGGGTTGGGGCTACCTACCTCGGCACTACCCGCATTCTATATGTCTTAATTACTCCAGTCAAGTGCTTCGGGGCTCCTCTCTAGGGAAGTCAAAGTGATGCAGTTGGATGCTTTGGAGCAGATCCACGACCAAGATTCCAAAAAACAAATGTCACACCGCCGAAAGCAACATTTCCCAGCATAGCTGCATAGCAGCAATGTAATTCCGATTTTGACCACACCGACCACACCATGTTTTGTATACTTAAAACAAATCTTGGCGTAGAAGAGAAGGATAAACAATGTGTTTTCCTTTCATGGCGCAAAGAGCATTTAGTGCCATTGTGCACAGTATGTTGAACACACATGCACAGTACACAGACACATGATCACATAACTATTTTTGAATCGTTCAGTACCCGAGTCGCTGACTTGGACTTATTTGTCACAACGCAAAGAAAGTTTGAAGCACTGGGAGGAAACTTTGAAACATTTGTCAGATTCGCAGATATGTGAAGTGCATTTGAATAAACGAGATTGTATCTTTGGTGCTTGGCAGGATTCTTTTCAGATGTGTTTTGCCTGAAGTCTTGACCTGAACACAGGGCATGATTTGTGCAAAACATGTCAAGAGAAACGTGGTCCACAGGTTCCTGCAAAGGTCGTCCGATATCCCTATTCCGCATAGCTTCGATGTAGGTTCCCACTTGCAGTAGCTTCCAAGCAAAGGAGTGCTAATAAACCGTTGTGAGAATTTCCACGTCAATGTTTGGGCCTCCGGAAGGTTCCAAGAGTTTCCGATACGTTCCGTCTAAAGATTTGGGCACATTGTTGCCACTTCCTCGGTGGCACCATTTGCCGTTGTTGTTCCTGTTTCTCCAAGGATGTTTGCACGTTGGGCCACAAGTTTCTGTTTATTTTTGGTGCTGCTCTCTCAAGTTCTCGAAACTTTGGTTTGAAAGGACGTGCACGCTTGTGAAAAGTCAATTGTCAAACCCATGTATCTGAACATGCGACACTGGGTTGAGGTCATGATGGGTATGCTTTCACCCTTGTGGATCATCTTCGGTCATTGGCAGATAGCCAAAGAAGTAAGATAAGAATGTGATTTCCATTGGGGGAAGGCATAATTTTAGATGGTCAAAGAATCAGAGGAAGGAAGGAAGGAAGGACGGAAGGAAGGAAGGAAGGAAGCAAGGAAGCAAGGAAGGAAGGAAAGAAGGAAGGAAGGAAGCAAGGAAGCAAGGAAGCAAGGAAGCAAGGAAGCAAGGAAGCAAGGAAGCAACGAAGCAAGGAAGCAAGGAAGCAAGGAAGCAAGGAAGCAAGGAAGCAAGGAAGCAAGGAAGCAAGGAAGCAAGGAAGCAAGGAAGCAAGGAAGCAAGGAAGCAAGGAAGCAAGGAAGCAAGGAAACAAGGAAGCAAGGAAGCAAGGAAGCAGGAATCACTGTAAAAGGTATTGATATGTATTGATTACATACAGGTTTTGGGTGTAGACTTCCTAGGTGTAGGGCCGGAGGGTTGGAAGGTTGGAGGGTTGTGTGGTCTTGTGGTAGCACGCTGCTCAGGTGGAGGTGAGGTTGAAACCGGAGGCAGAAAAAACACGACAGAGTAGCACCATAAACGCAAGATCAGATCCTGAAGTGACCAGTCTTGCGAAAAAGGAGGGAGAGAAAAAAACAGTGCTAAGAATGCAAGAAAGTGAACATCCATAAAGCTCCCTTTGGAAGCTCTGGAGAGTGTCTCTATAAACTTCAGCAAAGATCAGTGTGCTGACAAGATAAGGGTTCGTTTGATGTGAAAGTCTAGTAGGAGTGGCTCTGATTTAAATGTCTTGCAGATGAATTTTCTGAGAGTATGAGAGAATGGTTTGAATTCCTTGCTTGTATCAATGCCTTCGGATTGCCAAATTCAGCTGTTTATTTTTCCGAAGGCAATGTTCTTGATGTTCCTGAGTTGAGCATTCAAGGGTCACAGGGCAAGCACATTGGGACTGAAGAGGTGCAGTTTTGCCGCTCATTGATGCTTTTCATGGCAAGAACATCAAATGGATCACATCAGCGCACGAACAGTTTGCCGCTCAGTTGTTCCAGACAATGATAGTCTTTTCCAGTTGCCAAGCCTCACGTGAGTATTTGCACAATTCTTGACATGGTTTTGAACATCCTTGTGGCAAATGTCGTTGCAAAGGTGCAGTGGCCATTCAGCTGCAGCCTACGCCAAGTCCACGGGCAAGTTTGGTGTTGTGGCGACCCGAGTCAAATCGAGTCAAATCGAGTCAAATCGAGTCAAATCGAGTCAAATCGAGTCAAATCGAGTCAAACTGCGAAGAGTAATCTCTATATTTCAGTTCCTAAGAGTTTGTTTGGAGAGTAACTCGGAGTACTCATTGGCCCCGTTCACTGAGGCCATCGTAACAAGCGGTCCTGGCTTGACAAACATGGTGACCCCTATGCAGGCGCACCCCTATGCATGTTTAGAATTGTTTATGTGGTGGCATTTTTAGAGTTTCAGATGACACGCATAAATCAAGAAGTGTCAGTACAGGCAGGTGAGGTCATAAGCCTTTGGACCTGATCAGGCATGGCCCCTGCGCAAGGATAACATACACTGATGCATTCATGGCTCAAGAAAAAGGGTTGCCGCTGCGGTGCCCTTGCCTTTTTGCCCGTTTTTAGGGTTCGCAGGTTATGAGCCCAAGCTTTTTGCTTGGGCGTACTCCGTGAAGGAGTTGTTGGGGCCATGGACCGAAGGCGCCGACAACTTGGTGGTGCTGGTGAGACCGCAGACCAGCGATTGGACCGCCTGATAGCGATGGAGCGAAAATCGCAGCTTCATCCTCCTGCCGTACCTGAAGTCCGAAGGCTGAGGGTGGACGAAGGAGGAGCACAGGCTTCGGGGTCAGACTCTCGGCTAGGTGATCGCCGTGGAGGAGACGGAGATGAAGCTGTGCATGGGCAGGTGATTCAGCTGCAGCTGGAGGCAGACGGGCCAATGCCGGATGGGATGCTGGCGCCGCTTTTTCAAGACCTTGGACCTGAAGGGACGTCTGGGGTGCTCTATAGAAGGTTGGATGAGGATGACATCACTCGTCCGGCAGTTGAGGCAGAGCCTGGACTTCGTGGGAGCCCTGGTGCTGCAGGAGCGGGACTACAGCCTGCTCAAGATCTACCCAATGATGCTGGCCGAGGACAAGGTTTTGTACACCGAGATGGGGCACCCTTGTTGGAGGCAGCTGGTGGCCCGTTTGGCCAAGATCGCAGTGGCACTGGAGGCTTAGTGGTGTCTCCTGGCGTCAATGCCTTTTGGAGCGCTGATGTAAGAAGGGCCGCCGCCTTGGAGCAGGTAGCGGACGTGGAGAGGCCGATGGCTCTTCCACCTTTAGCTGGACCGCCGGTGACATTTGGCCCTGTGCAGGCCCTTGGAGTTGATCATGGAGGTCCGGGACTTCTTCAACCTGGTGCTGGCCCTGAGCAGGCCCCGTCGCATTTGGTGTCTGCTGGCATGAGCCCTGTGCAGGCTCCTCTGGTTGGTGCTGGTCCTGAGCAGGCCTCTATGCGCATGGCGGCTGCTGGCATGAGCCTTGGGCAGGCTCCTATGGGCGGTGCTGGCCTTGTGCAGGCCCATGGTGCTGAATGTCGTCAAGGGGGTCCTGAGCAGGCCCGTGGTGGAGTGCGTGGCGCTGGCCCTGTGCAGGCCTTGACCAATGGGGCGCTGTCGCAACCATCGCCTGAGAAGTCAGTGGAGGAGTTGCGACTCCGCATCATGAAGGAGGCGGAAGAGAACTTCATCCGGGAGGCCAAGAAGCTCAAGGGTGAGGAGGTCGAAGGAGAGATTAGGTCGTACCACACGGCTTCAAGTGGGGTGCCGCCTATGCCGGCCTTGCAGGGAACCGCAACAGCGACGTCTTTGGCTATGCAGCAAGCTGGACATGGGCTTCAAGGAGGAGCACACTTGGCTGGTCAAGGGCATCAATTGGTTTGGAGTCAACCGGTTTCTCCAATGGCAGGGAACTCTCCTGGACTTCCTAGTGGTCATTCCCCTGGACTTCATGGTGGAGCGTGCGCATCTCATGGCCATCTTCAAGCTGGTGGACTTTGTGGAGGTGCTGGATCGATGGTGCACTCGCAAGGTCATGCGACTGGTGTGCATAGTGGTGGTCAAATTCCAAGCAGCTGGAACGCAATGGGTCCTATGGCATCCTTTGGAGGAGGGGTATCGACTCAAATGTGGCGGCAGGCACAACAGGAACTGCGCCGTTGGTTATGCCTCCAGGGCTTGGTGGTCCGGATCAACCTCAAGGGCATGCGACCCCTATGGAGCTGCTGCGGAGCTCTGAACTTCCTCTACTACCACAACCTGGCACAGAGCAGTCAGCCTTGCAGTTTGGGGATTGGATCACGGTGGTCACGCCGATGCTTGGAGATGTGGCTGGATCGGCTCGTGGATGGTGGAATGACATCTTGAGGGAGGCTGCAGGGTTGTATGATAGATGGCTCACCTCAACGCCCTTAGAAAGGATCAGACTCCGTCCAGCTGAAGTTCAACGATCAGAAGCCCATCTACGTTTGGAACAGCGGGTGGTGCCGATGTTGCTGAAGTGCATCCCAGAGCTCATCAAGCAGGACTTGATTGCCAGCAGAACCATGACGGTGACGGGCATCATGTACCGGCTGTGGACCATCTTCCAGCCGGGTGGGAGCTCTGAAAGGGTGAGCATTCTCAAGCAGCTCACGGAACCAAAGGTGGGGGCCAGTGCTCCAGATCTTCTTGGAGGACTTCGGAGGTGGAGACGGTTGATGAGCAGGTCATTGGAGTTGAACTTGGCCCTGCCAGACCCGATCATCCTCAGTGGAGTCTTGCACCGCTTTGCAGATGCCTTGGGAAAGCTTGGTGGGACGCAGTTGGCCTATCGGGTGGCTTCAGTGAGGCAGGAGCTTGGTGTGGACATCAGACCTGGTGCAGTGTCCATTGAGCAGTACGCGGAGTACCTTTAGTCCGAGGCAGAGGAACTGAGCTTGGGGATTGGCTTGAAGGCCACAACTGCTGGAGCCGCTGCTACAACGTCCCTGAAGGCCATGGTGAGTATGGAGACTCCAACCCTGACTTCGAGCACAACTCCAGGAGGCACTGCGAAGTCTCCATGCAAGTTCTGGAAGACTACGGAGGGGTGCAGACGTGGAGCACTTTGTACGTTTCTTCATGAGACTTCCGAGATGAAGGGAAGGTGTTTCAACTGTGGGAGCTCCTCACACCTTCGTCGGGACTGCACAGCGAAGACCTCATCTACTCCAACTTCTACCCCCGCGCAACAGGGTGGTTCTGCAGGAGATGGCTCACAACAGAAGAAGGTGTCCAAGGTGAAGGCAGCTTCAAAGCCATCTGCCAAGGATTCACCTGGCGACTCTCAGAAGGGAAAGGCCGCCAATGCGGGCGAGATGAATCCCAAGGAGGTTGTGAACACCGTCTCTGGGACTACTTCTGAAGGAACTCAAGGAGGTGAATCGACCACCACAGAGCCGATGGGTGAACCCTCAACCGAGGCAGCAGCAGAGCTGATGCGAGAGGCCACAAGCCTCTTGAAGTCCATCAGGTCATTGAAGGCCGTGCGGATGAAGTCCGTGGGAGAAGGGAACTTTGGTGGACCTGGGGAGTATGCCCTTCTTGATGGAGGCGCTACTCATGGACTTCGACAGGCCAAGCCTGAAGAGGAGCCGGACCTGATCGCCACGAAGGTGGAACTGGCTTGTGGGTCAACGGTGCTCTACAAGCACCCCAGGCATCAGACCTTGCTGAGCAAGGAGCCGGTGGAGCCAATCATACCTTTGGCCTGGCTGGTGGCGGCCGACTACAGGATCACATGGCGCCGTGATAGCATTGTGATCCATCACCCAGTGAGGGGACCGTTGAAATGCAGCTTGAGGGGCGGTTGCCCGGTGATGTCTCGTTCCGAGGGCTTGGAGTTGTTGGCTGACCTTGAGAAGATGCAGCAGACCAACATTGAGGTCAAGGAGGACGAGCTGAACTGGTGGGCGAGCCGATTCCCACAGGTGCCGCCTTCTGTCTGGAAGTTCATGAAGGGACAGGGTGAATCTTGGAAGGATCATGCTGCTGGTCTCCCCTGGAATCGCCATCGGAGGCGACGACTGTGGCGTTGTCGTGGAGTGAACCTACACTTGTTTTCTGGCCGAAACCCCAAGCATTGGGCTGAGCTGGAGCAGGCGGGCTACATGGTCATCACTGTTGACACTCTTCAAGGAGTGGATCTTCATGATGCAGCGACGTGGGCATTTATCTGGGAGCTGGCTTGCGCAGGGAAGATTGCGGCGATCTTGGGTGGTCCGCCTTGCCGCACAACTTCAAGGCTGCGTCAACGCCAGCCTGGACCACCTCCATTGAGGGGGCGAGATGAATGGCGGTTCTCATTGGAGGGCCTCACAACATGGGATCTTCATAGGGTCAACTCAGACACGGCCTTGCTCTTCAAGCAGCTTGGACTCTTCATCAAAGCCGAGGAGAAGCGCCTGCAGGTGTTGGAACTCCAATCACTTCCTACTGCCTTTGCATTGGAATCCCCTGAAGACCCAATGGCATACCTGGGAGTTGAGGCTGCGCACAATCTTCCATCTTTTTGGAACTTCCCTGAATTGAAGGAGATGGTGGGCTTGGGGAACTTGAAGCTGGTGAGCTTTGACCAGTCCCAAATGGGGCATGCCCGAAGGAAGCCAACCACCATCCTGGGGAACTTGCCTGGATTGGAACAGCTGGACGGCCTGAGAGATTCATCTCGACGATCGGACCCACTTCCCAGAGGACTTCAGGAGTCAATGGAAGCTTCGAAGGATTGGGCGAGTTGGGTGCCGGGCTTGGTGATGGCTCTCAAGGAAGCGTTGAAGGTATACCTTTCCCAACGGGATCAGTGCCTAGCTCAACGCATCCACAAGCTGAACGTTGAGGAGTGGAAGCAGCATGTCAAAGCTCATCATCACCCTTATCGAAGAGATTGTCGTCGATGCATGGAGCTGGCTGGGGTTGATAGCCCACATCGGAGGTCGCATGCTGACAGCTCAGCCTATGTTCTCTCCATGGACTTGGTTGGCCCATATCCAGTTGGAAGAGATGATGGTCGCCAAAGAAATGGGAAGTACATCATGGTGGCTACTGTCCCACTGCCGATGCTGGAGCGTGACGACTTGTCCAAGGACCAGAAGGTTGACAGGGACGATGAGAAGATCGAGACCGATGGGAAAGAGGCCAACGAGAGCTTGAATAGCCATGCAGATGGTGGGCCTGGAGCACCTCAAGATCTACCACGACCTGAAGAGGGAGCTTCTCTGGAGGAAGTCGATGAGGAGCATGATGTGGAGATGGTGAATGAGGAGGCGGCCAACCGCCTGAATCGGGCATGGATGGAGCACATCGATGGCTTGAAAGGGCCAGTGGGGCTTCAGAACATCA